TTTTTTGCTTGGGAACCGATGGGTTGTGCAGCTTGTTTCGTTTTGTGGAGTCGGGCTCGGTTTTCGAGCTTGTGCATGTTTTTCTAAAGAGAAATGATGACTTGTGCAGGTTTTTTGTTTGGGAACTGATGGGTTGTTGAGTTTTTTCCGTTTTGTGGGGTTGGGCTCGGTTTTCGAACTTGTGCAGGTTTTTCTTAAAGAGAAATGATGACTTGTGCAGGTTTTTTGCTTGGGAACCGAAGGGTTGTGAAGCTTTTTCCGTTTTGTGGGGTCGGGCTCGGTTTTCGAACTTGTGCAGGTGTTTTTAAAGAGAAATGATGACTCTTGCAGGTTTTTTGCCTCGGAACCGATGGGTCGTGCAGCTTTTTCCGTTTTGTGGGGCCGAGTTCGGTTTTCGAGCTTGTGCAGGTTTTCTAAAAGAGAAATCATAACTTGTGCAGGTTTTTTGTTTGGGAACCGATGGGTTGTGCAGTTTTTTCCGTTTTGTGGTGTCGAGCTCGGTTTTCGAAGTTGTGCAGGTTTTTTTCAAGAGAAATGATGACTTGTGCAGGTGTTGTTGTTTGGGATCCGATGGGTTGTGCAGCGTTTTCCGTTTTGTGGAGCCGGGCTTGGTTTTCGAAGTTGTGCAGGTTTTTTTAAAGAGAAATGATGACTTGTGTAGTTTTTTTGCTTGGGAACCGATGGGTTGTGCAGCTTTTTCCGTTTTGTGGGGCGTGGCTCGGTTTTCGAAGTTGTGCAAGTTTTTTTGAAGAGAAATCGTGACTTGTGCAGGTTTTTTGCTTGGGAACCGATGGGTTGTGCAGTTTTTTTCCGTTTTGTGGGGCCGAGCTCGGTTTTCGAATTTGCGCAGGTTTTTTGGAAGAGAAATGATGACTTGTGCAGGTTTTTGTTTCGGAACCGATGGGTTGTGCAGTTTTTTTTCCGTTTTGTGGTGTCGAGCTCGGTTTTCGAACTTGTGCAGGTTTTTCTAAAGAGAAATTATGAGTTGTGCAGGTTTTTTGTTTGGGAACCGATGGGTTGTGCAGCTTGTTTCGTTTTGTGGAGTCGGGCTCGGTTTTCGAGCTTGTGCAGGTTTTTCTAAAGAGAAATGATGAGTTGTGCAGGTTTTTTGCCTGGGAACCGATGGGTTGTGCAGCTTTTCCTGTTTTGTGGGGTCGGGCTCGGTTTTCGAAGTTGTGCAAGTGTTTTTAAAGAGAAATGATGACTTGTGCAGGTTTTTGCTTGGGAACCGATGGGTTGTGCAGCTTTTCCCGTTTTGTGGGGTCGGGCTCGGTTTTCGAGCTTGTGCAGGTTTTTTTTTAAAGAGAAATGATGACTTGTGCAGGTTTTTTGCTTGGGAACCGATGGGTTATGCAGCTTTTTCCGTTTTGTGAGGTCGGGCTCGGTTTTCGAAGTTGTGCAGGTTTTTTTTAAAGAGAAATGGTGATTTGTCCAGGTTTTTTGCTTGGGAACGGACGGGTTGTGCAGCTTTTTCCGTTCTGTGGGATCGGGCTCGGTTTTCGAACTTGTGCAGGTTTTTCTTAAAGAGAAATGATGACTTGTGCAGGTTTTTTGCTTGGGAATCGAAGGGTTGTGAAGCTTTTTCCGTTTTGTGGGGTCGAGCTCGGTTTTCGAATTTGTGCAGGTTTTTTTGAAGAGAAATGATGACTTGTGCAGGTTTTTTGCTTGGGAACCGATGGGTTGTGCAGCTTTTCCCGTTTTGTGGGGTCGGGCTCGGTTTTCGAGCTTCTGCATGTTTTTCTAAAGAGAAATGATGACTTGTGCATGTTTTTTGTTTGGGAACTGATGGGAGTTTTTTCCGTTTTGCGGGGTTGGGCTCGGTTTCCGAACTTGCGCAGGTTTTTCTAAAGAGAAATGATGATTTGTGCAGGTTTTTTGCTTGGGAACCGAAAGGTTGTGAAGCTTTTTCCGTTTTGTGGGGTTGGGCTCGGTTTTCGAATTTGTGCAGGTTTTTTTTAAAAGAAATGATGACTCTTGCAGGTTTTTTGCCTCGGAACCGATGGGTCGTGCAGCTTTTTCCGTTTTGTGGGGTCGGGCTCGGTTTTCGAACTTGTGCAGGTTTTTTAAAGAGAAATGATGACTTGTGCAGGTTTTTTGCTTGGGAACCGATGGGTTGTGCAGTTTTTTCCGTTTTGTGGTGTCGAGCTCGGTTTTCGAGCTTGTGCAGGTTTTCTAAAAGAGAAATGGTGACTTGTGCAGGTTTTTTTGTTTGGGAACCGATGGGTTGTGCAGCTTTTTCCGTTTTGTGGAGCCGGGCTTGGTTTTCGAAGTTGTGCCGGTTTTTTTAAGAGACATGATGATTTGTGCAGGTTTTTTGCTTGGGAACCGATGGGTTGTGCAGCTTTTTTCGTTTTGTGAGGTCGGGCTCGGTTTTCGAAGTTGTGCAGGTTTTTTCAAAGAGAAATGACGACTTGTGCAGGTTTTTTGTTTGGGAACCGATGGGTTGTGCAGCTTTTTCCGTTTTGTGGAGCCGGGCTTGGTTTTCGAAGTTGCGCAGGTTTTTTAAAGAGAAATGATGACTTGTGCAGGTTTTTTGCTTGGGAACCGATGGGTTGGGTAGCTTCTCCCGTTTTGTGGGGTCGGGCTCGGTTTTCGAAGTTGTGCAGGTTTTTTTTTTAAAGAAATGATGACTTGTGCAGGTTTTTTGCTTGGGAACCGATGGGTTGTGCAGCTTTTCCCGTTTTGTGGGGTCGGGCTCGGTTTTCGAGCTTGTGCAGGTTTTTTAAAAGAGAAATGATGACTTGTGCAGGTTTTTTGTTTGGGTTCCGGTGGGTTGTGAAGTTTTTTCCGTATTGCGGGGTCGGGCTCGGTTTTCGACCTTGTGCAGGTTAAAAAAAAAAGAAATTATAGTTTGTGCAGGTTTCTTGCTTGGGAACCGGTGAGTTGTGGAGCTTTTTCCGTTTTGTGGGGTCGGGCTCGGTTTTCGAATGTGTGCAGGTTTTTTCAAATAGAATGATGACTTGTTCAGGTTTTTTGCTTGGGAACCGGTGGGTTGTGATGCTTTTTCTGTTTTGTGGGGTCGGGCTCGGTTTTCGAACTTGTGTAAGTTTTTTAAAACAGAAATGATGACATGTGCAGGTGTTTTGCTTGGGAACCGATGGATTGGGCAGCTTTTCCTGTTTTGTGGGGTCGGACTTGGTTTTCGAACTTGTGCATGTTTTTTCAAAGAGAAATGACGACTTGTGCAGGTTTTTTGCTTGGGAACCGATGGGTTGGGCAGCTTTTCCCGTTTTGTGGGGTTGGGCTCGGTTCTCGAACATGTGCATTTTTTTTTTAAAAAAAAAAGAAATGATGAATTGTGCAGGTTTTTTGCTTGGGCACCGATTGAGTTGTGCAGCTTTTTCCTTTTTGTGGGTCGGGCTCGGTTTTCGAACTTGCGCAGGTTTTTTTCAAGAGAAATGATGACTTGTGCATGTTTTTGGCTTGGAAACCGATGGGTTGTGCAGCTTTTTCCGTTTTGTGGGGTCGGGCTCGTTTTTCGAATTTGGGCAGGTTTTTTTCAAGAGAAATGATGACTTGTGCAAGTTTTTTGCTTGAGAACCGATGGGTTGTGCAGCTTTTTTCGTTTTGTGGGGCCGGGCTCGGTCTTCGAACTTGTGCAGGTTGTTTCAAAGAGAAGTGATGACTTGTGCAGGTTTTTTGCTTGGGAACCGATGGGTTGTGCAGCTTTTCCCGTTTTGCGGGGTCGAGCTCGGTTTTCGAACTTGTGCAGGTTTTTTTAAAGAGAAATGATGACTTGTGCAGGTTTGTTGCTTGGAAACCGATGGGTTGTGCAGCTTTTCCCGTTTTGCGGTGTCGGGCTCGGTTTTCGAGCTTGTGCAGGTTTTTTTTTCAAAGAGAAATGATGACTTGTGCAGGTTTTTTGCTTGGGAACCGATGGGTTGTGCAGCTTTTCCGTTTTGTGGTGTCGAGCTCGGTTTTCGAACTTGTGCAGTTTTTTTTTTTTTTTTTTTTTTTTTTTTTTTTTTTTTTTTTTTTTTTTTTTTTTTTTTTTTTTTTTTTTTTTTTTTTTTTTTTTTTTTTTTTTTTTTTTTTTTTTTTTTTTTTTTTTTTTTTTTTTTTTTTTTTTTAAAAAAGAAAAAAAAAAAAAAAAAAAAATGTGTGCAATTTTTTTGTTTGGGAATCGATGGGTTGTGCAGCTTTTTCCGTTTTGTGGAATCGGGCTCGGTTTTCGAATTTGTGCAGGTTTTTTTCAATTGATCCCAGGGGCCTCTTGAGGCGTCTTGGGTACCTCGGTGGAGCCTCTTGGGGCTCTTGGGGGTCGCGGGGGGGCCTCGCGTGACCTTTTCTGGTGCATCTTGGGTGCCTCTTGCGGCCTCTTTGGGCGCTCTTGGGGCTCTCTTGGGAGCCTCTTGGAGGCCCCGCGAGGCCTCTCAGGTGAATTTTGGAGAGCGTCGATCAAAAGAAGGGGAGGTCCTCGATTTGCCTCTCCCCTCTAGGGCCATGAAATTAGGCTTTTTGGGCGCTCTTGGGGCCATATTGGGGGCCTCTTGAGGCCTCAAGCGCATCAGAAGCGAAAGGGCGAAAAGGCACACGTCATTGCGGTTGTTGAAGGATTTTGGCTTCTTGGGGGGGTGTCCTGATGGGAGTCTGAGATCATTTGGAGCCCGCTTGCGGTCCTCTCTTGGGGCCTCTTGGAGGCGTGTCGGAAGCCATTGTGATACATCTTCGGCAGTATTGAGCCATGTCGGAGGCCATGTTGGAGCATCGGAGGCCATGTTTGGCGAAAAAGGATCTTGTGACACATCGCCCCCCCTCCTCCCCCTCCAGGTTCAGGTGAGGGGGTCGGGGGAGGGGTTAGGTTGTGTGGAAGAGGACAGAGAGTCCTCGTTAGACCACTTGTTACCTAGAGGGCTGGTCACGAACGATAAGGATGGAGACCGCTGGTGTTCCCCCGTGCCCCTTCCAGGGGCGCCCCTCGGCGCTGGCGATTGCTGTTTCGGTTCGATGGTTCAGTCGGGTAAAGCGGACGGCACGGGCCAGTTTTGCTTGTTAGCGACATGGCCGCTCTGGAGTGCGAGGTCTGCGCGTCTCATCCTTGCCAATGCCCGCCTCATTTAAAGAAACTCTTGGGCAAGCCTGGGGTCGGGAGGTACGAGAGCCAGGCTGGGTTGGAGAAGCCCGACAAGTGTTGGATCAGATGCAATCCGGAGTCCAAGCTTCTGAGTTGCATCGTGTGTTGCCCAGAGAACAGGTGTCGCCAGCCCAGGCACAACAATAAGTTGGCATTCGCCCTCATGGGCCTCACCCAGGACTCGGGGGGTGGGTGAGTTCGGGCAACCGCAGGTGGGCCCCCGCAACTAGAGTGGATGGTGTGATGCGTGGCCCGCGCGCGGCGCCGCAGTGCTTGCGGCGCATATGTGATTTGGCTATCCTCGGGCATGCGTCACCGATTCACTTCCGATTGCCGGTGCCCTCCTGCCGTTGCCCAGACACTGTGCCCGAAGGACGCTGCCAATGGTAATATCGAGCCGGAGTCGGTCGGGCACCGCTTGCGCAACGTCGCCGAGGGGCCCGACGCCAACGACCTGTACAAAAACGGTAGGACTGGATCTGAGATGCACCCAATGCTTGCCGAGGCAGTGTGGGCGTGGGAGCAGGCGCGCCGCCGCCGCACCCATCAGCAGAGCTTGAGGTCGGCGCTGGCGTCGCAGGTGGGCGACGACGGCGCTTCCCCTGTGTCGTCTCGCAAACGAGAGGCGTGGACTCCCGAGACCGCCGAACACGTCGCTGCAGGGAAGAAGCGGCGGGAGCTGCAGCGCCAAGGCTTCTTGGACGCTGAGGCGGCGCCCTCGGGGTGCGAAATGCCGGGGGGCTCCCCAGGCACCCCAGTTCCAGATGAAGATCTGGTCGCACTTGATCTTGACGTCGTCCTTGACGAATTGGCCGGGATGGACGACAGCCCGGTGGACACGCGCGGCATCCTGGAGGAACCGCCGAAGAGTGCAACGCAGAAGACCGACAAGTTCAAGCGATCGTCAGGTTCAGCTGCTGGAACCGAACATTCCTGA